AATTTCTGTTGGATGGATATACCCATTTGTTTATCTGTATATTAGTTGATAAACAGAAGTTTAATTGCTTTGAAAGCAAAGGAAAAACACAGGGGACTCTTGTCCCAGAGGCTGTGATTCTGCACATCAGAGGGAACAGAGGGTTTTTAATGATGTGATTTTAGGTGTGCCTGGATCTTCTTCACTTGTTAATCTGGGATATAATCATTTTTTAAGTATTCTGCTGTCATCCCCATCTCTGAATTTCTTCACTCCCATGATGGGTGTGTGCTCAAGAATAGATAACTGTATGGGGACAAAAAGTAATCCTGTTTCCCCCAAGTTTGGAGATGGGGAGAGGGGGTGGAAAATGTCAATTTTAAAATAAGACTCAGTGGCAGATCATCATGCTGGGGTTTTTCAGGTTAATTTTTTTTAATTTAATTTATACTTAACTGAACGTTAGTTGTTCATGGTGGGGGCGGGTGGTGTTATTTAAAAGGGCATCACTTTTATACCAGTTCAAATAGAGCAACTTTCTAAAAATAATATATTAAATCTGTAGAACACTATATTTTCCACTTTATACAAATTTATAGTTGTTGAAATCACTTTTATTCCTGTCACTGGAACCAATTTGTTTCAAATTCATCTGCTTCAGAGTTCTAGAAACCGGGAAATCAACTGAAAGGACTATTTGTCTCAGAGTAGGGGAGTTGACCACCTGGGAGGATAAGGAGGTGTTCAGTGTGGTAGAAATGTGGTAAGCAACACTCCTGAGTCAGGGAGCAAAAAGTCCAGAGGGGAATAAGCAGGGTCTGTGGGAATCTGGCATGCCCAGGGAAGAAAGGTATATGACGGGTGGGAAAGGAGATGGAGCTGGAAAGAGAAGCAGGATCACGTGGGGGGAGGTCCCATGGGACCTGTGAAAAGGTTAAGAATGTAAGAATTAAGTTCTGTTTTCCTGGAACCTGAAACTCATGTAGAAGTTGAAAACAACTCCCAGAAATGCCCACTAAATGTATGTTGAAATCTCCCCTGATCATCTGGTTGCTCTACGAAAACAACCCCTCCCAGAAACHGTGCAATGATTGGCTATGCTGTATGTGAAGTCCCTGCCCTCTCCAAGGAAAGTATATAAGCTCTGCTTAAGCTGTTCCCGGGGCTCTCTGCTCTATTCAAGTGAGCTCTGAGCCCCAGCATGCTGGACCCCCAATAAACCCTTTGCTGTTGCATGAGACAGTCTCTTGGTGGTCTCTTCCTCCRACGCTCGCCCGACCTTTACACCTGATGATGCCAAAAAAAACACTTCTTGAAGAAACAAAACAGAGATGGTAGGAGCCAAAGGAGGAGGTTTGGACCACTTGGTTCTTCTGAGCTGTTTTGTTCCCTGACAACTAGGTAAGATATTTATTGAGGGTAGGGCTGTCCAATGCTCACTGTCCTCCCTGCCCCACTCCCCACTGGAAAATGGCTCCCTAACAACTGAAAACACAAGTAGAAGCCCCTGAGGGTGTAAGGGCCCTTTCCTGGAGGCTGCCCTGTGAGTTCATCACACAAAGTTGGGGACAAACAATTCTATGGTGGACCAGTCTTTCATGGAAGACAATATGCTCATGAGATGTCACAAGATGGAGTCCCTTATTCCATCAACTGTCAACCACTCTACAAGCACCAGCCCTAGAATTCTCAGAACCAGCTCAGAACCCGGTGACCTCATCTTTAGAGAACATTGGGACTGGGCCTTCTGGGGACTCCCATTGGTGGGCAGAGTAGTGGGTGAGTTCACTCTTTCAAGAACTATAGGCCTGGTAAACAGAGTGAACCTTATGGATTTGCAAAAGGAGGATCTGGGCCTTCCAGGCCATAAGTACACCCAGACTTTTGAGTGTGGAGGACAAACTTTCAGGGAAGACCCTTTGCATGCATGGGGTGGTGGCTGCCTGAATGGAGTGCTATTAGTTAAGAGATGGACTCCTCTAGGAAACTAAGGACTCCTCGAAGGCAGAGACCATGTTCTGCCCAATCAGAAAAGATACAATTGAGGTCCTTGCCCTTCATGAGGCTTCTCAGTCTGAAGGACTGCATGGGTCCTGGACTGGAGTTAGAAGGCCTGACTTGAGTCTGGGAAGGTCATGGCCCCTCTACACCTAGTGTTCCTTATCTGTAAAAGACTAATGGGGTCTCTTATGTGCCCTGAAAATATAGCTTTGACTGAATCAGGAAATTATTAGGCATGTCTTTGAGAAGGGTGGGAAGGAATGAGAGGAAGAATAAGCCAAATCCAGGAGAGGAATGAGAAACAGTTCAGGTCCCAAGCTAAAGCTGTCAGTCAGCTTGCCTCTTTCTTTTTTTACTGCCTCAGTGTGTGTGCCATGGTTCTTCAGATTGTTGGAGCTCTGCACCATGAGAACTGGTGGCTGCATCCTCTTACTACACTGGAGGAAGAACCTGCAGAGGAGGCAGCGTGCCCAGCAGTGGGTGGAGGTGATGAGAGCTGCCACCTTCAGTTACAGCCCACTGCTGTACTGGGTCAACAGACGACGCAGACATGGCATGACTGCCGTGATCAGAATAGGCCCTCCTCAGGCTGTTGCCAATATTGACATTCAACTCCAAATTCCGGATCTTCCATCAGAGCCACACCTCCATGAAGATAGGCGTCATGCCTTCAGAGGCAGCAGCCCCCAAGCAGAAGCCCCTGTTCTCCTGCAGCCTGCTCTGGTGGTCCCACAGCAGCCCTCACCTAACGGGATGCCAGAGTGACAGACCCCATCCCCTTCCCAATTGTCTTTCGTGCGATCCCCTCTGCCCCAACCCTCTGGTTGGTTAGGTTCATATAACAAAAAATGCATGCTCTATAAAGTTTCAGGATACCCAAATATGTTCTGGTTTGGGTATGAAAGAAACCAAAACCAGTTTGAGATACACAGCAAAAAAAAAAAAAAAAAAAAAAAAAAAGCTGTCAATAAAAACCACTTGACAGGCCATTGACCCCATGGGAGTTAAAATTCTCCACTGTGACCAGCAGAGCCAGCACAGGAGGTTGGAGGGGTTATGTGCAGCAATGCAAAGAAAGGAAACTGCTGTAGAATGCAAAACAGCCAGGAGCAAAGGAAAAGTGTCCACTCCTCAGCTTTGTTGCTGCAGACCCATTCTTGGGTTCCAGGTATGTTGCAGCACCTCGAAGCCAGGCACTCTATTCCTCTGGGAATTCTACAGGACCTGTTGCCTCCCTGAATAATGGAGAGGCTCTTTAAGTAAACATTATGATGCCAGGCATACATCAGTAGAATAAAAGGATTAGGAAGCAGTACTTAGGGAAACTAAAGAAAGAAGCAGTAGGAGCCACCACACAAAATAGCTAAAGCATTGAAAATAAAAACCAAACTCAGATCACTACCCAATCTTTCTCAGAGAGCTGAGAATGTGGCAGGTGAGGCTTGACTATAGCTCAACACAAGGACTAGGTTGGGTAAGTGAGGACCCCATACAGATATAAATACCACAAGAACACTAAGAAATTGGTTCCTGGGGCTTGTAAGCTGGTGAATCTTCTTGACTAGAACAAAGAAAGTTGAGATAATGACCTGTGTCTTCGAGACATGGTAGTCTCTCAGGCAGGATGACAAGGGATTACAGGCCTGAGTGCAGAATCAGTGCATCTGGCAATGACCCAGCGATTCCACTCCTAGGCATATATTCAGGGGAAGAAAACATATCTACAAAACCCTGCACAATAATATTCACACCAGTATTATTCCTAATAGTCCCCATATGGAAACTATTCAAACAATAATCAACACATGCATGGATAAATAAAATGGGCTGTGTCCATACAATGGAATTTTATTCAGCCAAAAAAGAAATGAAGTACTGATACATGCTACAATATGAACAGACCAGGACAACATTATACACAAGGCCACTTATTATGATTCCATTCATATAAAATATCCCAAACCCAGAAAGGAAGCTAGGGAATGAATAATTGTTCTATAGTTACATAGTTTCCTTCTGGGATGACAAAAATTTTCTAGAATTAGATAGTGGTAATTGTTGTGTAACTCTGTGAATATACCAAAAAGCACTCAATTTTACATTTTAAGAGGGTGACTGTTATGTKAATTTGATTTCAATTAACCAAAAAAGAACTCAAGGACCATATACACTTCAAAGACTGAATATTTTAAATTTTGTTGTTGCTGTAGATGAACAGCATTCCTTTGTTTCATTTTTATGTGGTGCAAAGGTTCCAACCCAGGGCCTCAYAAATGCTAGGCCAGTGCTCTGCCACTGAGCTAAGGCCCCAGCCCCAAAGACTGTATCTTTTCAAAAGTATTCTCTCTCTCTCTGCACTCCTCCACACCCACCCCTTCCAATTTTCTTTCTGGTAGTTAAGAAACAGAACAGTGCCACCAGATGATCTTTTTCATTCTCAAGGCAATATTTCAGCCAACATGATTAGAGAATTTCTACCAATTGTCTGACATCTAAAAGGACTTCGTTTTGTCYTCACAGTCAAAGAGAGGATTTAGTCTCCAACACYGAGGAAGATCAATGGAAAAACCAGATGGAATACTGGTTTAGAATGCAAGTTTGGTTGCAAAAAGTCTCAGCTTGTATTCTACCTTAACTAGCTCTCTACAGCTCAGAATTAGGCATTTTCCCTATCAGTAAAATGGTCTTAATGCATGAATACTCATGTTCCCAGGACAGGCACCAGGAGTACATGAGAAAATACATASCAAGTGTCCATAGGAAGTACTCAATAAATATTAGATGCATTTTTTTCATAAATTAAAAATCATTAAAAAGGTATTACATTACACATTCCCACAATTATCCCAAAGTATAAAAATTTACTTTCAACACTAGAGGTTCCTGGTAAGAAGACAGCTGCCTTAGTTGGGAAGCTTTCTTGCTGAGAGCCATTGCCAAGTAGGAATTATGCATGGCAATTTCTTTGTCAGCCTACTCCATGTTGCTTAGAGGAAGGACTCTCCATTGTGGAAATGGGCTTGCCTTTGGACCCAGGTCATTTGCAGTGACATTGCATGTATGCTTGAGTAAGGTGACCTTGCAATTTCACTTATCTTCTCTTCAGATCGTCCCCGCACAGGCCACCAATTGCCGCAGTCTGGCTGGGCACAAAATCACGAGCCACTCACACCTTGTAGATTCAAACAGCAACTCTTTACTCTCGAACTGTCACCTGCATTCTACACACACATTCTGGGGAAATCCACGTTCTGGGCAAAATCCACGTTCTGGGCAAAATCCACGTTCTGGGCAAAATCCACGTTCTGAATCCCAAATACTCTCTGAATCCTGTGAGAACTCAATGGGAACTCCAGGAGTGGGCGTGCCTGAGGCAGCAGGATATGCCCTATTCCCAGCAGGGTACACCTTAAACCTGGAACTGCCCTAAACCCAAGGAGCAGGATACTCCCTAAAACCTGATCCACCCTAAACCCGGATCTGCCCTGGTCCCTGAGCAAGGTCACCTTACTCAAGCATACATGCAATGTCACTGCAAATGATCTGGGTCCAAAGGCAAGCCCATTTCCACAATGGAGAGTCCTTCCTCTAAGCAACACGAAATAGGCTGACAAAGAAATTGCCATGCGTCATTCCTACTTGGCAATGGCTCTCAGCACTTTCTCATTTTGGTCTCCAAGGAATTCTGAAAATTTTGGCAGTGCTGATGTCTTTAACATGAAACTCTGAATTCATTCTGTAACAAACATGTGGTTTAGTATGATAAAATCTAAYACCCAAGTATTAGTATCAAGGGTCACCTTGTAGGGCAATTTCTATGTATTTAATTTAAGAGAAATAGTTGAGAATTAAGTAGCATAGTGATTATGTGAAATTCAAGGCTTAGACTGAGATGTCCATAGACAAGTGAAGTGAATCAAGGTTACATTAAGTTTTCAAGTAGAAATCCCACTGGAATATGTTCAACAGGTCGAACATTCCTAATTAAAAAATCTGAAATACTCCCAAATCTGAAAAGTTTGAGTGCCAATATGCTATGACACCGGTAGAAAATTCCACATGTGACCTCCTGTGATGGGTTTCAGTCAAAATGAAGGTGTATCCAGCATGGTGACCCATTCATTCCTGTAAATCCCTGCAGCTCAGGAGGCTGAGGCAGAAGTATTATGAGTTCAAGGCCAGCCTCAGGAATTTAGTGAGGCCCTAAGGAACTTAGGGAGTCCCAGTCTCTAAATAAAACATAAAAAGGGTTGGGGATGCTGCTCAGTAGTTAAGCATCTTTGGGGTCAATCCACAGCATCTACCCAAAAAAACTTGCTAAAAATATTGCATAAGATTATTGTCAGGGGCTGGGCATGTAGCTCAAGGCAGAGTGCTTGCCTACTCCATGCAAGATCCTCAGTTCAAGGCCCAAAACAGCAAAAAACAAAATAGGGAAAAAGAGTCCTCCCCTACAACAACTTTCATATATGTGTATAAGGTATATATGAAACATAAATAAGTTTCATGTTAAGACTTGACTACTAATATCCAAGACATTTTATATATAAAAATTTATATATATATATATATATATATATATATATATATATATATATATACACATACACACACACAAATATTACAAAATCTGAAAATCTAAAACATTTTCAGTTCCAAACATTTTGGATAAGGGATACTCACATCATAGCACAATTCAGCATTATATATATTTAGATGGAAAGAGTTTAAGCAGCCAGGTGACAATAGCATAGAAACTGGATATTAAAGATCCTTAATATTCTGAGAGATGTACAATAAGCCTCATCTGGGAGTGCCGGCTACAAGATAAGATGGTGCTAAAAGAGTGTTACCATAGATCATGTAGCACCAAATGTCAGGACAAGGCCTTTCATTCTAGTTTGTTTCCCAACCAAAACAATCCAAGGGAGGTTTTATTGCTTTTCCACACTGAATACTACTTGTTAGAGGAGGGGTCACAGACCTCACAGTCTAGTGCCTTAGTTAAGTCCATAATGGAGGTAAATGCATCTGCTAATATCAATTAATTATGTCCCTCCCCAAAGTTAAGCACCCTTCCTGTACAATAATCCTACCATTATCTGGTAATGATTTTCAGAAGGACTAAAATTTACATTTATACAGAAATAAAGAGTCCCATAAACACCACATAGGGCTGGTTGAATACGATATGACACTAACCTTTTGACTTATTATCAGATGCACACTGCATGGAGAAGTTTATTTCCAGCCAAACATTATCCATTCTTCCCTAAGGAACTTAGTGAGATCCTGTCTCTAAATAAAACATAAAAACAAAAAATCTTAATAGACCAGATTACAAATCAGGTACAAAAGGGGCTTTTTCTAAAAGGAAGCAAATGCTCAGGCATCCCTCACTTGGTTCCATCAGTGCTGCTGAAACACCTTTCCCACTCCCTATGTGGGAGCAAGCAAACTGATGAAGCCTTTGTGAAATATTCAGAAGCCAGCCCAGTGCTCACCTTTGTCTGCAGTCTCTGGAGGCCTGTTGCTCTTAGGTTTGATTGTGAGAGCACTGATGAGCTGCACTGTCTCTCCTAGCTTGGATACCTAAATTTGGACCATCTTTCTTCTGCCAAAAACAGAAATCAAAGAAGATTTAAGGTGGAAGTCAGACCTCACCTGAGTCTCCACTAGGTTACCTGACACTAGTAGAATGGACTGGTCATACCTACATGATCTATTTCCACAATTTCTCAGTAGCAGCAATGGTGTGGGACTCT